ACACGAACGGTGCCAGAAATATCTTGCTCAAATATTTGACAGAGGGTCAGGCTTTGGCCTGACTTTGGGACTTGAACTTATATGGGATACGATATGCATAGTAAAGACTAACTTTATTTATTCATATTGGATTCAATTTCAAGGGTGTTGACATCGTGTAAGGTAGTAGAAAAAAAAAATATTGTTTAAATTATTCCTTGAGGTCAAAGAATTCCAAGAGTAATTACAGTATTTAATGTGCAATATGAATGTTCCAAATTTAGATTTTTCAATGTCAAAATTTCTGAAATTGTCTATAATACAATTCAAATGTATAATACATACAATATGTATTATGATATATTTTTCACAAAAGCAGATTACACAAATCACATCATTTACTCCCATATACAGTATATACAGCATATTATTTCACGTGATGCACAGGGTAACTTATTGTAAGCAAAAAAAAAAAAAATTTTCGTGCTTTCTCCTTTTTTGCTTTAAATATGTACGACAATCATCCTTTTCGTGATAATATTGATTAAAAATACCGGTTCATTACGAGATCAGCACTGGTCTAATATAATCCTGTAATTTAATCGGACCTCACAACTTATAAGGTACAGACAGGAATTACGAAAATCCACTAGCCCCCAAAATGGAATACTTGTGTGCACCAACTTGAAGAAAAAAAAAAAAGAGTATCACGGTCATCCATTGTTCCGCTAGTCCTAAAGTGATTACTGTAAGTGTTGATACGAGAGGTTGTATGGAAAATGTTTTTTTTCGAAATAAATAAATAAATAAAAAAATAAAATAAAATAAATTTCAACAACAAAAAAAATGATCCAATGTTATGAATGATGGGTATTTTCGCGAAATCAATAGAGTTACATAAAATTAGTGACACACATAAAACCTTAATTTATTATATTAGAATCAAGACAAACTTGATTAAATCTAGCATAATCGTTTATTATGTTCGCCTTTTGTAAGGTAGGCTGTGAACGCGAATTCAAGTATACAGATCGAAAAATAAATAATTATGATCTGTATTACCACAAATCTATAATTAACGTTATAGAATTAACGGGTAAAAAGCCAATCACGATTCATACAAATCATCTAAAAATATCAAATTGTTATATTGGGTGGTGGTCCAATTTCTTGCAGCTGCTCGTCGCTTGTTTCTTTCCTTATTTGGGTTCACATCTTCTCTCCATATACCGTGCCCCTTGTCATTACAGGTCTTGCGACAACTGTCGTATTAAAAATTTTCATAGTTTTTTTTTTTCGTTTCTTTTTTTACTTTTTTTACCCAGGCACATTAACAAGGTAAATTTCTTTCTCAAGATTGCTTGTTCGTTCTAACTATTTCACAGTGTTCACCGTGTCTTTTCACTAATTAAATCGCGAATCCTCTTTCTTTGGAAACATTTATTTAAAAAACGGGTAGTCAGAATTACGCATACAGGGACAAAAGTCACGAAGGCAAATTCAGACATAGGAAATAATCACAATGCATTTGCTGTCGCTGAAAACCACACTTTTTGTCGTTTTCGTGTTTGCATTATTGTCTTCTTTAAGAGTATCTGGAAGTGACATATGGAAAAGGGGTGAGTGTTTTTAACAAAACAGTACCGAAAGATGATCTTAATATGTGTTGGATAAGGGTCTTTGAAAAGTCATCGAATGAATTGTTTGTTAAAATAAAAATTATTTGATTTCTGTAGAACCACAAAATCCGCAACCTACGTCAGTTTCCAGTCAGGCAAACACGTCACCAGCATCTCCGAGTGGAGGAGCTACAGGGACTTCCGACCAGACACCGACAGGTTCAGGATCACGAGCACCGTCACCATCTGGATCAGCAACATCAAATAATACGTCTCCAGCTTCCTCGGGTACTTCTACCTCTGTTCCCGATCCACCTGATCCAAATAGCCCTGCGATATTGGTCCAAATGACCGAACCTGCCTCTGCCAAAAATATCTTGTACAAAATCGGCTCCAACATCACTTTTGGATGGAAATACTCGGGCGATTTCGCATCTGGATACGCACCGAAATCTATCAATGTCTTTGCACAATCATCTCTTGATCAAAATAACTATTACACCATCGCTGCAAACGCTACCGGTAATACAACTAAAGTCATTTGGATCACTGCAACAGAATCTTCACTGCCCATGGCCACCTATAGATTGTATATATGTGATGAGAGAGGATTAACCGGTGTTCCAATGCCTGGTGCTTTGTCCGTTTTCTCGGGTCTTCAGTTTGGGATGTATACACCTCGTGGACGTACAGATCTTCCAGGTTTGTTGTCTTTGGGTTTTCATGAAATTTTCGTCCGACCCAGAAGATGCTCAATATATTGTTACTTTATTTTGTCATTACAGACTTTAGCTGTGCTACTTGCGAGGGAGCGAACCTAAATTTGCCTTACGTTCCGATTTTAGCGACGTTCAGTCTCTCTTTAATAACACTAATTTATTTCAGCTTTGGCCTATCATAAAGTGTCAGGAACATTTTAGTGAATACCTTTGCAAATTTTGTTTCTTAAGAAATCGAATTTGCGTGTTTGCGTATTAATTATTTTGTTTTAGAGCATGAATGAACAATTAGATTAATTATATCGACAAGTTGATTAATAATGCACATTAAAAAGCAGAAGTAATTATTATTAGAAATAATTTTTTATCAATTTCGTGTTTTACGAAAAAAAAAAAAAACATTCGATAGCAAACATCGAATACGTTTCTTTTTGTTATCTTTACCGACTCATCGATCAATTTGACTTTCATCATTTTTATCCTCTTTTCCTTGGTTCATATTTTGTAATAATGATTTTTTTTTGTTTTGATTTTTCATCGTTTCAAAAATAATTCTTATAACTCGATTTAATTAAAAAAAAAAAAAAAGTACTATAACAAGTTAATAATTAATTTTTTTTTTTTTCAAAAAAAAAATCCCGAGTATATGTAAGACTCAACTAATGATGACCGTTATCAAGTTGCAACAAGAATACTGCGTGAAAAAAAGTCTGATTTATCTACACACCCAACGCATGCTGTAGTTCTATACAGTTTTTTACCGACAACAAAATGCTCTTCAATTTCCTAACGACAATGTCTTTTTTCTCTTCAAGATTATTAATTTTTTTTTTTTATTGCCGAATGCTTTTCCCTTTTACAACCAATTCAATTTCTTCCTGGTTAAGAGTTTCATAATCGATCAACGCTTCTGCCAACCGATGTAATTCTTCCTTATGAGTTTTCAAAATATTTATCGCGCGCGTTTGAGCACTCTATATGACCCAACAAAAAAAATGCTGCATAAGCACATTTAACTTTATTATTAACGAATGTAATTGATAAATTACCTCCAACAATGTCTTGATTTCATTCTCGATAATTAATTTGGTTTGCATGCTAAGTTGTTCCATCTCTTCCTCCGGATGGGCTACTGGTCCTACCTATGACATCACGAAAAATGTTAAGCACTTTTCAAAGCATAAAAAAGACACACGTAAGATTCAATAATCGGTACCTTATCGCTCATGCCGTACAGTGTGACCATACGTTTGGCAACATTCGTTGCGTACATGATGTCATTATGTGAACCAGTTGTAACATTTTCTTTTCCAAATATCATTTCTTCAGCGACTCGTCCGCCCATGGCAATATCAACCATTGCGAGAAATTCTTTCTTAGTGTAATTTTCTTTATCCATTTCAGGCAATTGTACGGTCTAAGTATAAAATGTGGAAGCTGAATAAAAATTTCAAGGTAAAACAAGCGATGGGATTATAACTTTTTAGTTATCTACTCACCATGCCAAGCGACGATCCTCTTGGCATTATCGTAGCTTTATGTAAAGGCAATGCCCCTGGTGTGTAAAGTGCCACCAGAACGTGTCCACCCTCATGATATGCGGTCAAACGTTTATTTTCTTCTGTGATCACAGCAGAACGACGCTCTGCTCCCATGAGTATTTTGTCTTTGGCATATTCCATGTGCTTCATGGTCACCTCGTTGGAACCGTCCCTCGAAGCCTGAATTGCCGCTTGATTAACCAAATTAGCCAAGTCCGCGCCAGAAAATCCGGGCGTGCCTCGAGAAATCACGCTAATGTTTACGTCTAACAAACGATAAACGTTATCACCATTTTTTGGCCTGTCGTTTTTTAAACGTGCATTCTTCCTTACCATTAGATATTTGAACATTTTTTAAATGATGAGATAATATCTGCATCCGACCGCGAACATCTGGAAGCGGAACTGAAACATGTCTATCGAAACGACCAGGTCGAACTAATGCTTTGTCTAGTAGCTCAGGGAAATTTGTCGCCGCAATGAAGATGACTCCTTCAGTTTGCGAAAACCTATGACCCAAAATGTAACGAAAAAGATTCATAAATGTAGTAAAAATATGAATAACGTGAACATTAATTGATATTGAAACCTACAAACCCGTCCAAATCGACCAACAATTGATTTAATGTTTGCTTCATATAGGTTTGATCTTTGGGATTACGCTTAGAACCGATTGCATCTAACTCGTCGATAAATACTATACTTGGCGACTTTCGTCTCGCAGCGGCTGTAGAGACACGCGTGTTTTGATAAGAATACTTAAAGATGGATTGAAGTCGAACTAATCATAACCTACCGAAAAGTTCCCGGACCCTTCTCGCACCAACACCGACATACATTTCGTCAAATTCAGAGCCCGACATGAAAAAGAATGGTACCCCCGCTTCACCGGCTACTGCTCTTGCGAGTAATGTTTTGCCCGTACCTGGAGGACCAGTGAGCAACACCCCTTTTGGTAATCTTCCACCTAAACCCGTAAACTTTGACGGGTCTCTCAAGAATTCAACTAATTCCTCCAATTCCTCTTTT